TTAATCTTCGAGGTTGGTTACATAATGGAGATAACCTGAAACAGGAAACTATTTCACCCGTATTGGGTCTGTTATGGAACTGTCAGAAAGATAATTTAACTTTGAATCTGAATTGGCTAGAAGATTTTGAAATGGGTATAATAACGAAGAGAACAATTCTCGCTGTAACACACAAAATATTTGATCCTATTGGTATTGTGAGTCCTGTTCTCTTGTATCCTAAATATTGTTGCAGAACCTATGGAAAACAGGAATTTCTTGGGATACTGAAGTCGACGAGAGTACAAAACAAAATTTTGTGAATTGGTATAAAAGCCTTTTTCTCTTAAAAGAAATATCCCTCCTACGTTGGATACATTCCAGCAAGGACAATAGGAAGTTCTGCAGCATTCACACATTCTGTGATGCCAGTAGTAATGCGTATGCTGCTGCAGTTTTCTTGAGAACTGTGACGAATTCTGGAGTTGAAGTTCATCTGTTGGCATCGAAGTCTAGAGTAGCTCCCGTAAAATCTATTACGATCCCTCGTCTGGAATTGATAGCTGCCACGATAGGTGCCAGACTATGCTCTTCTGTTTTAAATGGTTTGCAATGGCAAAATATGGAAACGCATTTTTGGACGGATTCTACAACAGTTTTGACATGGATTCAAAGGGAAGAGATTGTCTGGGCTGTCTTTGTGGAAACAGAGTCAGGGAGATTAGGAAACTGACGGATCCAAAAACGTGGAAACATATTGCTGGAACAAAAAATCCAGCTGACCTCCCATCAAGAGGTTGCACCGCTAAACAACTTTTAGTAGTTAGATGGTGGGAGGGCCCCGACTGGCTGAAGAAAAATCAGGAAGAATGGCCTAGACAAAGGGAAATACCGGACATGGAAATAGTGAATTCAGAAAAAAGGAAATCAGTCATTTCTGCACTAAATACGCAAAGGGTAGAACATTTTTTTGAGAAATATTCATCTTACCATAAAATGTTAAGAATAACTGCTTGGATATGCAGATTTATCAACACACTGCAGAAGACCAGATTCTAAACAATCAGGAGAACTCACGGTCCCTGAAATAGAAACCTGTAGAAAAGAAAATATGCAAGATTGTGCAGATAGAAGCATTTGGCAAAGAACTTAAAGTTAGAAATCTTTGTACCTTTTTTGACTCAGATGGCCTTATTCAGTCAAAGACCAAGATTACTAGAAGAGAGGAAGAAGAAAATTTTCTCTGTCCAATTGTACTACCCTCAAATCATGACTTAGTTTATAGGTTAATTTTAGATTACCATTTGCGACTATCCCACGCTGGTGTGCAATTCGTACTAGCCAATATTCGACAGAAATTCTGGGATCCTGAGAGGAAGAAAAACAAGTACGTAAAGTTCTTATGAAGTGTGTTCGCTGTAGAAGATATAGCGCAAAGAATATAGAGACTGTTCCAGCACCTCTTCCTGAATATCGAGTTAGAGATGCTCTGGTGTTTGAAGTGACAGGAGACAATGTAGCGGCTCCTCTTTATTTAAGAAAAGGAAAAAAGGCACTGATCTTGCTCTTTATTTGTGCAGTCTATCGCACAATACATCATGAGCTGATAGAAAGTTTATGAACAAATGGGTACATCTTGGGATTAAGAAGATTTATTGCCAGAAGAGGCGGTTCAAGAATTATTTATAGTGACAATGGCACTAACTGTTGGAACTGAAAATCTTTAAGATCGATAGATTGGAAAGAAATAGAATGCCATTCAACTAGTATGAGAATACAGTGGAAGTTTAATCCCCCAACTGGGGGCTTCATGGTGGGGCGGTTGGTGGGAGAGGTTAATACAAACAGTGAAGAAGATGTTGAGAAATGTTCTCGGGAAGCTTCTTAGAAGTCCTGTGTCTCTTACAAAGAAATGTTGACTATATACTTTGTGATGTCGAATCAGTGATTAACTCAAGACCCATCACGTACCTTTCAGAAGATCCAAATGATCTTACAGCACTAACTCCTTCAATGTTTCTGCAAGATGTGCACGACGTCGGAGTAACAGACTTACACCACCTAGATACCATCAATCTGACAAAAAGATACAAGTTCTTCCAGAAATCAAGAGAACACTTTCACAAAATATTTTGTGATGAATATTTAGCTATCCTAGTGCAAAAACCACCTAAACGATCTACTTAGGACTCTCAACAAAAATGACTTAATGTTTGTCGGCAGCGACAACAAGAAGAGAATAGATTGGCCAATAGGTCGTGTTGTAGAAACTATATCCTGGAAAGACAACGAAGTACGTGTTGTCAAGTGAAAACTGCAACGGGTGAACTCCTAAGACCTGTGAAACGTATTTATCCTCTCGAACTTGATAGACCCTAACTTGTTTAGTGACTTCACCATGAACATAAAAAACTCTGCGGATAAGTGTTACAGTGATATGAACTATCAAACTAGATATGGACGTAAAACTGTAAAACCTCTTACATATTTTTAAATTGCTATACTAATTTTTGTTTCTTTTCAGTATTTAGAAATTTAATTGTCCTAACAGTTGTCAATTGGAACATGTTATCTGGATATGGTATGAATGTAATGCAGAAAATGTTTAGATGTGTAATCCTTCTTTGTAAGTATTAATTTTAGAGCATTAGTTACTTTTCATATTTGTGAAAGTTGTACTTGAATTTTTGTTTGATTATTGATAAATTTTGTTTTGATTTTCCCATCTTATCGAGGTAAAATCAAAAGGTGGGAGGATGTTCACATTCTTGCCACTAGGTGGCGGGCATCTCTTCCTTTACTTTTGCTGTAATTAAGTTCCGAGAAGCAGTCGAGATTGGAACCGCTTTGAGGAGCGTAAAGACTCAGAGTTAAAAATGTACTGTCTTAAAATAATTATCACTTACCTTGTAAATAGTGTATATTAGCGTTTTCTTTGAATAAATAATTAAAAGACAAGATGGCCTGCTAATTGTAATAGAAACTCTTACTGGAAAACGTGATTATTAGAAGCCTGGCGTCGAGAACACTGAAGATGCAGCAGGTAAGGAATTTTATATTAATTTTATTGTAAATAGAAGAACCTGATGCAACACGACTCTAAAAATTGGGACAAACATATACCATACCTGTTATTCGCTTACCGCGAAATTCCAAATTGTACTACAGGAGGAGTATCCCCATTTAAATTAATGAATGGAAGAGAGGCCAGAGGTCCGTTGTCAGTATTCAAATCGTCGTGATCAGGAGAAATTCCATTACCAATAAAATTGGGTAAAAGTGCTATGGTTATCTACAGGAGCTAAAAATGAATTTAGAAATAGCAGCAGAGCAAGCATTCATAATTGCAGAATTGAAACAAGGTGCATATGTAAGGTATGCTAATCGAAGGGCTATATATAAAGAATTCAACCCTGGAGATCAAGTGTACCTGCTGATTCCAGATTCCAGTAATAAATTATATGCCAGATGGATAGGACCTGCAGAAATAGTATCTCGTTGTAATCCAGATTCTTACAGAGTCAGACTGACAGATGGTACAATAAGAAGAGTACATGTAAATAAAATTTCGAAAATTTAATCCAAAAGTACAGGCAGTAGGTGTAATATTTGAGAACGAAGAAGAACTAGGAGAAGTCCATCCTACACCCAGTGTGAGTGACAAGTCCGATCATTTTTCATCTTAGCGAAGTAGACTTAAGCCATTTAGATGATGATAAAAGGAATAGGACAATGATGAACTTGTTAAGAAAATATGAAAACTTATTTATAAATAAGGTAACAAATTGCCAAAGTAGGAGAACATAAAATATAAAATAAGATTAAATGACAATTGAAAGAAAGAAGCCATATGTTTATCGAATTTCCAGAAGCATTGAAGCCTCAAGTAGATAAACAAATCGGAAGAAATGTTATCAATGGGATTGATTGAAGAAACCAACGCTGAAATTTCGTACCCTATTGTATGCGTTATGAAGAAGGACGGTAATCTTCGCCTTTGCGTTGACTTTAGATCCCTTAAATGCAGTAACGAAACCAGATGACTTCCCTATGGAAAATCCTAAAGAGCTCTTATTCTACATTGGAAAAGCCAAAGTGATATCCAGCATTGATTTACTCAAAGGCTATTGGGCCATACCATTAGAAAGAGAGAGTCAAGAATTAGCATGTTTCAAGACACATCGAGCTCAGTATCAATTTAAAGTCATGCCTTTCGGGCTACGCAACGCCGCTGCAACATTTCAGAGAGTCATGAACCAGGCCCTTGCTAAATACAAAGATTTTGCTCGAGCCTACGTCGATGACATAGCAGTTTATTCAAAGATAATTGGAATGAACATTTAGAACATCTTGACACCATTTTTTCAAAACTGTTAAGAACTAACAGTTTTCCGTAAATCTCAATAAATGTTCCTTCGATAAAACTCATATTAAGTATCTAGGACATATCATCGGTTCTGGCAGTCTTTCGTACAGATCCAGAGAAAGTGGAGGCTATCCAGAAATTAGCTAGACCTCAAACAAAAAAACAATTGAAAAGCATTCTAAGGCCTATGTAATTCTTACAGAGATTACATTCCACGTTACACCGAAACAGCTTATCCATTAACCAAGCTCACCAAAAGAAGTCCTGAAGAGCGTGCTGGGCAGAAAAACACGACGAAGCATTCCATTAATTAAAGAAATGCCTAATGGAAGCACCTAGTCTTTATACCCCTGTTACAGGGTTACCTTTTATAATTCAATGTGATGCATCTTCAACAGGTGTTGGAGCCTGCTTATCTCAATGGAAAAACAGAAAATTGTACCCGATTAGTTACACCAGCCAGAAACTACCAAAACACAACAAGCATGGCCAACTATCGAGAGGGAAGCTTATGCTGTTATTTGGAGCTTGAAAAAGTTTGAAACTTGGATTTTTGGATCACCTGTGGAACTGATAACTAATCACAATCCGTTAACTTTCATCACAAAGAACGCACCACAATCTTCTAAATTACAGAGAAGGGCTTTAGCATTACAAAAGTATGATACTACAATTTCACATTGCCCAGGTGCTAAGTTAAGCAATGCTGATGCGTTGTCCAGACTAGAGACTATTGAGTGACTTGTGTGAAAGAAAGAACTTTTCATAGACATTTATGAACTCTTAATATTATTATTTTTTTATGTGTGTGTTTCTTTTTCAGCTACTCTCCTAGAGACTTTTAAGTATATCATAGACGCTTTAAGTATTCTATTGCATTAGAATTGTTTGAATACTAATTTTTAATCATTTATATATTACAGTTTTAGAAGAAGTCTTGTAGTAGGTGTAGAACTAACCTGTATAAGTATTGTGTTATATATCTTTCAACTTCAGTATCGATTGATTTGTAGACTTTAGTAGGTAAGTAACTCTTTGACGTCACCATAATTTGTCATATTTCAATAGGCTTTCACCCTATTTCAATCTTGGATGGGGGGTGTGATGTATGGGTGACGCCAACCAACAAGATGTATAGAGGGCGCTAACTCTCAGTCTGGAGAGGCGCCAAAAGTTTAGTTTCCAAGAGGGAGACCGACAAAGAGGTCATACGGAAGGCTCGTGGGAGCCATTAATGAAACCGAAATTCACTTTTATTACTTTATATATTTCAGTTATTAGTAGTGTATTTTAGTATTCGTTTGTGTTTGTAAAATAAATGTTTAAAATACAAGAAGGTGGAGTTATTTCTCTATGAGGCGGTGGATGAAGAAGGGATGATATCACAGCTTCAATCTTCAACTCCATAGAATAAATACGCATATGTTGGATACAGGTGATAATGCTTTTCGTAAAAAATTGGAGGGTTGAAGTAAAAATTTAAAGCCCCCCCCCCCCAAAAAAAAAGAAACTGAAATATTTTTAAACGTAGATGAATATGTTCAAACTTAGAAGACGGCTGAAGAACTACTTATGGCTGAAGACCTACTTGTGAAAGTAACTATTTTTTGTAACTATTGAAAATCATCAGGGTATGCTGGTAAAGAATTTTAAATAGTATTTTCTTGCTGACGATAAATTGGTAGCAAGTTACGAATGAAATAAATACTTCCGAAGTATCTGAACTGCCGAAGAAGAAATCTTTAGACTTCACTGTAAGTGGCAAATTCAAAAGACAGTTTAGTAATAAATCTTTGAATTTTGGGAAAGGGTGTTTTTTGCACTGAAAGCCAAGAGCATTTCGTATATTATTACTATTTTCAACCATCACGAAACCGAATGTTTTGCGATGGTTGTTTTTAGAGCAAAATATAGGTCTCAGCTAAATATTGAAATAGAACTCGGAGTGTTTATTTCTACTATTTTAAACCGATTAATTTTATGAAAACTCGTTTTAGTTGCACATTCATTATAAGAGCACCTAAACAATTTTCTGCCGATATTCTGATAACATGTGTGTAAGAGCGTCTCATGTGTGTTATCTATGTACAGAAAAATAATTGCATAGAAAAAATCAAAGAGTATGTAAAATATTCATATTATATTGAATTTCCTTACATCGAATTGGCAGTTGAATATGGAAGCATGATCTTTCTTATTTTCTTTATCAATAGAATGAGTGAAAAGTTTATTGATTGAGAAAAAAAAAAAAAAAAAAAAAAAAAAAAAAAAAAAAGAGTTTTAAAAGCAAATAAAGTCTGCTCTTCTTTTTGAAGATCCTTGTGTATTACACACTTTTTCTGAAAGACATAGTATAACGTCTGCCTCGGATATGAAGTTTTTTAAAACTTACTATTATTATTTTACTCTACAGACCAAAGCTCTTAGCTTCTAAAATTTTATAATTTCTAATAAATTGAGGAAAAAAGCATTAATAAGTTCCATTACATATGAGTTAATAGAATAAGAAGCATGAAATCTGAATCCATAAAAACAGCGAAAAAAGATGTGCTAGGAAAAGATTTCATAAAAAAGATATGCTACTTGTATTTGCCGCTTAATAATTCATCCACGTATCTGTTTCATAGCTATTTAAACATTACATGGTTTTTCAGAGCTAAAAATATCATGGAAGACTTTCCATTTAATAAAAGATTCTCCAGGGTCGATATTTTGCATCTGCTGTACAAAAAATACTTGAAGCATATTAATAAATCGATTCAATATTTGCATGTGTGAAATATGTTTCCTCTGGAGTAGGATACATTTGGAATTTTCAGTTCTTTTTGTCTTTGGATATGGAAACTTGTAAGGTATTTCTACTGCCTTCCTAGCGTGCCTTCGTGGTGTAGTGGTTCTGCACGCTGGGCCGGTATCCAGAGGTCCGTGGTTCGATTCCCGGCGAAGGCGATTGCATATTTTTCATCTTTTGTGCTTTCAATTATTTCATCAGCTCCTAAATAGTGTTTTGAATTTTGATATATATTTAAACCAGTGTGTGAGGTTTACGGTTATTAGCTGATTTCAAACAAGAATTAAAATCAAGTCTTAAAATCTTCCTACGACTAATAAAATTGTCAGGACTGCTATTCCTTCTAACTGACTTTGCAAGCATAACTAAAGTCCTGAGTAGGAACAGGGAGTTTACTAAAAACTATGTTCGTGGGTGTGGGGGTAGAAGATATGAACACAATGGGAAAGGCTTAATTACCCTTTATGTCTCACAATTTACAGCCGTTCTCGCACCCGGGATACAAAGACCAGTACCTATGGTCTGAAATGTAAAAAATAAGAACTAAAGCTAAATTAAATAAGAACATATAAGGTATTTCTCTCACTTTCCTAGCGTCCTTCGTGGTGTAGTGGTTCTGCACGCTGGGCCGGTATTCCAGAGGTCCGTGGTTCGATTCCCGGCGAAGGAGGTTGCTTATTTTTCATCTTTTCTGCTTCCAATTATCCTAATGACACCACAGTGGCGCCCGAAATAAAAGGGTTGTGGATGATGATTCTCCGCACCCAGGATTTGGCGACTAGGTCCCCTAAAACCCTAGTCGCCCTTTAAAAAGGGGAGTATATAAGGTATTTCTCCCACTTTCCTAGCGTCGTGCCTTCGTGGTGTAGTGGTTCTGCACGCTGGGTCGGTATCCAGAGGTCCGTGGTTCGATTCCCGGCGAAGGCGATTGCTCTTTTTTCATCTTGCTTGCTTTCAAAAAAAAAAAAAAAAAAGAAAAAAGAAAAAAAAAGAAAAACAACCCTAATGTCTCTACAAGCTATGTGTATAACGTAACCATCCTGAGAACTGATTCATATGTTGTATCATATAAAAATTTAAATGGTTATTACTTAATTCAGAGGTAGTCATACAGCGGCCCGCTAAGAATGTCATGAAACGCATTTAAAGTGTCATGAAACGCATTTAAAGTGTCATGAAACGCATTTAAAGAGTACAGTCTGAAACGACACAACGAAACAATAAATAAATAAAAATTAGAAAAAATAAATAAATTGAATAAAACTGCAACTATTTTATTCAATTTATATTTATTCATTTTTATGGTACAGTTAACACTTTTTCTGAAATGCAAAGTTAATGAATTGCAATCATTTTAAAAATTGCGGCCCTTCGCTAGTCTCCGTTTCCACAAACTGACCCCCCCGAGTCGAAACAATTGCCCTCATCCCCCCCCGACTTGATTCAGAATCGTGACATGGGTAAATTTTTTTTTTCACATTTTGATCGGACTTCAAAATTTCTATTTGATTTTCCAGCTAAAATTTATATTATTTTTAATTTCTAGTGACAGCAAGTTAGGCTTAATATGACATCTTTTTGATAAACTTTAAAGAAATGCAGAAATGTCATGCTATTTATAAACAAAATCAGCTGTTATTTCATAATGATGCGAAAGGGAACAAAGTATATATTAATTAAATGTAGCTCCATTTATAGTATGTTCTGCTAGTCGTAAACTCTTAGAGTGCTTAGACAATTATCATCCTGTCTTTACCTTTCCATAGTCTAAATATTGTATAATTTACAACCGAATGTTAAACAACTAAATGATTTGTTTGAAAGGCAGCTTAAAGTTATAAACACAAAAAGAATGAACAAAATTAACTTTCGCTTCCTATAGCAATGATTCAACGCAATTGTTTTACAAATTTAAAGTCAAATTCCGTTATTCTACGACTACAAATTTAATAAGACACTCACCAACTCTTAAAAACAGTTCTAAAGGCACACAACACACTATAAAAGTTTCTCCATGTCAGTCTGAGGTGGCCAATTCTCTCTCCCAAACTTTGATTCTAGCTTACATTTAAAACTCATTTTATTTACAAATTCTAGTGAAGGAGGCGAAGCGGCATATTTAGAGGAAAAGATTTAGCATAAGAAATAACATGTTCGTTAAAATCAAGTTCGGTTCTAAGCATAGGCGACATAAGTAGTCCCCTAAGGCGCTGATTTTTCGTAAGACGCCATGTATAAATTAGAAAGTATACTTCGCTTTGAATTTAACTATAGTATGTTTAACCTTTACGTGGGCTCCGCTTGCACTGATCGCCCAATGGAGCCAAAAATACGAGCCTGTTCTGCACTATTAAAAATTTCGTTGCAGTTTTCACCCAAATGTGGTTATGCAAAAGCTGCAACAAAACGATGGTGAAGATGGTGAAGTGTTTTTTCATTATTGGTACTTTAGTTAAACCATTATTTGGTACTTTAGTTGAACCATTATTTGGCAATATGTTGAACCATTAAAGGAGAATGTTGAACCAAAAATTGAGGATATATTGAACCATGACTTGAGGCTACGTTAAAAGGAAAATGGTACTATATTACACCCTCGACTGGAAATAACCGTTAATTATAATATGTTGTAGAGTCGTTTTTTTTGTTTTAGTAAAATACACCAAGTCGGGACTCTTATGCAGACTTAAGTCACTTATTGCTATATCTAAACAAGCAAACAAAAAAGTACCAAGTGTGTAAATGATCCTTTTAATAAAGAACAGTAATTTGAGCAGAAGGCTCGTGGTGCTTACAAATCAGTATTTATGGCATGAAATCAAAAGGTAGAATTTTAAATTAAAAACTAAATCGAAGTCTTTATTAACCAAAGACTACGCGCAGAGATATTTAAACGCGCAAATTAACTCTTAATCTACACTGGCAAGAACTATCACTGGCACTATCTGCA